TAGGCAATAGAAAATTGTAAAGGAATTGTTGTGCTTTTTTTTACTGTGACTTAGACTGTTGGCATCTACCATTTTAAAAATTGAGAAGACTAGTTTGGGATATGGCCCTTTCGACCGTTTCCTTTAGGTGTTAGCCTTCCTAAATTCCAATAGCTTTGTTAAGTGAAACCTCCCACAAGGAAAAGCAATTTTCCGAATTTGGCCACTCATTAATGCAAGGGGAAAAAGAATTCTTAAATATTTTGCAAGACTTTTTGGAAACCTTTGTTAGAGGTCCTCTATCAATCTTATAATTATTTATTATAGAAGCCTGCTCTTTTCGCAATTCTCATTCGCTATGCACTCGCAGCTACAAATGGTATGTTTTTTAAATGTTTATTTTCTGTTACATATAGCATGACAAGACTAATTTTTTTCCGAATTTCAAGCATATGTCTCTCGTGATTAAGTACAGCTCAGATACTATTTACACTGTCCTCCAAGAGTATATACATGCAGTCCTGAAAGATATTGCGAGTTCATTTGCGAGCTTTATTCTTGTCCATATAAGTTTATTTTGATATCTTTAATTTTTTCTAAAATGTAATAAGAGGATGGAAGAGTTTATAAAAAGCACATTCTACGGAATATTGATAGTTTATGAATAAGAAGCTTTACTAATTTTGCAACAAGCATTCGCGTACTCATATACTCTGAAGCATTACATTTGCAAATAATTAATCATTCTCGTACTCATTCCCAAGATCGTACTGGTAGAATGATTATACTGCTTAATCTCAGGATTTATTTTACACCAAATTTTTCTAACTTTAAAGTGGTTTAATAGGCAATCGAGTCATGATTTTTTTAGTAGTCGGATCACTTGATTTGTGAAATATTAACTCCTTGAAAGAAGCTCAACTATTTCAGTCTTTGAGTATAGTTGAATATAGGAAATGTACAGAAATTCTTAATCTTCAACTTTCTAAGAAACCACCGCTACTTTTAACGTGGGCGCCTCTCTTGAAATATTGCTTTGAAGTCTTACGATTAGCAGATAAACGTTAGCGGTAAATCTGAAAATGTAATCTAGCTTTGAATTTTTCAATTTTTACTCTATTATTCGCCTTTTGAATAAATAAGAATTAGTTTGGAAACGTGCCTTACGAAACTAATCAGTATAAAAAGCTATTTCCAAACAATGAAAAGAAGCACTTGATTGGCGATTGTTCCATTCCCTATCAAAAAGGTCTATGGAACTTCAAACTGAATCATATGCTTGTGCGATGCAAAATATCTGATCTAATTAAAATTTGTCTGATTCACAATGATTACTGAGAAAAATAGCCAATTCTATGAATATCTTAGTAGGTATTAAAGGGGAAATACCAAGTCAATGAAATGCAAGCAAGGTGCAAACGTAAAGAGCACTCAATTATGAAGTGTATAACAGCTGTACTTGCAGTTGTCGATGGAAATAGTTGCGTTGGTATGAGATGTGAAGAAGGAATGGTCTGCGTTACGGGACAAAGCGCTCCACAATGCATGGCAGTGGATCCAAGTCAGTCTTGAACTGAAACATCATTAAAATGTGTATTTGCATTGAATTAATCAGTTAAGCCAATTGTTCCTTGTTGTAGCAAAAAACTGTAACAACATAAGATGCCCTGGT